CAAGAACAAAGATTGGTGCAGAATAATATGAATTCATTTTATTTCCTTAGGTTCTCATCAGCTGCTTACAACCCAAAATATTTGAAATTCAAAATTATTACAGATATTGACATACTTATACATAAGAGGATGAATAAATGTATTAAGGTGTAGCGAAGATTCCGATAGGGTTAATGAGGTCATAGAATTTTGTCTCGAATAAACAGAGTTTGAGAGGGAAAGTTAATGCTTCGGCAACCTCTTGAAATTTGCAGAAGCAATAGCAATCAAACGTCTAAAACCACATCTATGTATACAAAAAGACAGTAATAAATCTTTCTTTACCCTGGTAACAATAAACCCCCTTTTTTCATTTATTTCTCTATTTATTTATTTAGTCATTACTCCAACTCTTTTAAATTACATCATACATAACTAACTGATTTTAATTCATATTTTCTTTATTACCATTAATCTATTTTCATGAGTTCTAATCACTATTTTAATGTTCTGGAACTTTCCCTCTCTAACTTTATTTATTCGAGACAAAATTTTACGACCTCATTAACTCTATCGGAATCTTCGCTACACCATGATACATTTATTCGTCTTTATTCACCCTCTTATGTGTAAGTATGTCAATATCTATAATAACGTTGAATTTCAAATATTTTGGGTTGTAAGCAGCTGATGAGACCTAACGAAATAAAATGAATTCATATTATTCTGCACCAATCTTTGTTCTTGCTCTCTTTATGAATCATTATATTTCACACATACTGAGTTTATATACCAACCAAACAGACCACAACGTAGCATAAAATAGAAAATAACATTTGTACAAAATATGGCCAAATGTGGCTGTGAATGTGGGAGGCAGTGACTAATAGACAGGGCATAAGTCAAGAATGGTAAAACGTATAATAATAGTTTATGGGTCAAAATAAAGTTTACAATAAGAGGAATATGAATAGTTAAGTTACTTAAAAATTATACGATAAAAATATACGTTTAGTATTGGTCCATAAAAGGATCCCAAAGTTACCATTCATTATGTATAAGTGCGTGTTTAATGCACCTCCTTGATTAGATGAAATATATATTTATTGTTTTAACTGATTCGTGGAATAGAGAGTTAATTAGAAGTGAACTCATTAAATAGTGAATATTCAACCTTCCTTATTTGTGGAGTGTAACTGAACAACAACAAAAAATGCAATAGTGGAAGAATCCGCACCCAAATGCCCTGGTACGGCCAAAGGTGAGGAGAGAGCGTTCTCCCTCTCAAAATGCTCTTACATGGCCACGCGTATACAGACACTGTCAGAGAAATTCTACTCACTGCCTTCTCACGATGGAGTGTTGTTTATGAAATTGAAAGGACGAAAAGTGAATATATAATGCTTTAAAGAGCTCGGTGAGTACGGAGGTACCACCTAGTAGAGTTGGAAAGCCCTGACTCCGAATCAATGGTGTACGTTCACTTTAGAATCCTGAGGTAACAAATGGAGTATTGTCACCCGCTACCATTTGACTACATCTCCTAACGTTGCTCTACTGACTTGTGGATTAGACCTTTAGGTCAAAAGCTCAGAATGTAGCTCTCTTTGGAAAACAACCTGATTCAATTTAGGCAACTAAGCAGTATTCCAGACCACACACAAATCAATGTATAACTACTACTGGAAAAATAATTCTTGTTTTAACTCTCATTGAGACGAATAATATTCACAATCATTTGATATCATTCGTTTTTATTACTTTTACTCAACGTATCTTATCTACTCTCTTTTCTTCTCAATTAGTACATTCGTTTATTTCCCTACTTATACAGCAGCCCACCTATGGTGAATGATATTGCAAAATACGAATTCTGAAACCACGTATACCATTCAAACTGGCCACCAATGCGGAACGGACAACACATCGGGTTAGTTATCTCTTTAGAAAGTCTAGACATAGATGTCTGTTATCTATTCGTCAACCGTAACCAATACTCTAGTGAAGTACTACGAATTTGCACTCAATCTGTCGCTTCGAAAAGCTGGTTTCACACACGATTATTCAGGGACCTTGTGGAAACTTCGTTTGGTTTTGCCGATGTTGGTGTATCACTAAGCAGTAGCACTGACGCAGAACTAGTCGATTGTGCTGTTAGATTAGAAAGCTCCATAGAAGTGCGAAGATATCGGCGTGAAAAACGATATCCTTTCGTCATATCCACCTACGCTCCGACAGATTGCAGCCCGGATGCGATCAAGGATGTTTTGCTACCAGTTGACTGTTTTCATACAAAAAGTACGTTCGACAGATATTGTACTTCACTGACATAGTGTTGGGTAGACCGCTCGTGGCATTTCCTCAAGTTTTCTTGTTTCAATTTCTTACCTCCTATTCTCTGACTAGCTCTGGTTTTAACATAAAGGGAATGTAAAATAGTAAAGGCACGGTAATTCGTGGAAAGAACTAACATGCTTTTGTCAAATAAGTTGATCGAACAGTCATTCTTACAGAGGTCGGTTCTGGGAGGAAGCTAATATAACAACTTAAGTTGGGTGGTTAACAATTAGCCGAAAACATCTTATTAATGTCAAGACTTTAAGGCTGAGGTATTTGTTTACTTTCACGTTTTGCATAAGCATTATATTTCCTATTATCCTACATTGCATGTTGAAAGCTTTGTATATTTGAAAGGACAACCTCGCACTCCAACTGTTCTATTCCACGCTTATCAGTTTGGCGTACTCCTAACGGAAAACCAAGAATAACCTCTGGCATTGAACTACCGCCGGCTAAATGTTCCTCTAAAAACGTACGTTCGACGGATATTGTAGTACTAGCCGGAAACTTGAACTGATATGTCGGGCTTCTAGACACATAAAAAAGTCGTTTAGATGACCGATGGAGATTTGTTGGTCGCAGGTCAGATAACGGTGACCATCTACTACAACTTTGCGCAGACTACAATATGCTTCTGGTTAGCATTAACTATCAGTACATTCATCGCCGATGTGACACAAGCGAAGACTGTCACGTAATGGAATTGAGCAAAGCTTATGTAAGAATCGAGAATCCTGGTGGCCGAAACGTGCCAATGAGTCGGGAGCAGCAGCTGCATCTAATAACTGCCGGAAGCACTTTCAACTCATGCGAGTCACTGGCAGCACGAAGTCTGGTGTGAGTGAAACAATCTGTGAAGATGACGGGATGCCAGTCAATAACATTTACTGACGTCTCAGACGAGGAGCAGAGTTTTTCGAGGAGCAGGTCAACTGGTCTGCTGAACCAATAGCATCGATCAGACTGTCCTGCCTTCCATGGCCGGTAACGACCGATCCACCTAACGAGGTAGAAATTCGCAAGGGACTCCAATTCCTGAAGCGCTACAAATCACCAGACTCAGATAACTTACCTCCAGTCCTTTTTAAAGTCGTTGACGACCTTTTGGTTAAAAACTGACTTGAGTACGCGAATGATATTGTCTTACTGTGCGGCGATACCCAAAGCATACAATCCGCACTTAAACAGTCGGTAATTAGGGTCCTTAGGTACGGTATGTGCCTTGAACCTTCGAATTGCGAAGTACTTCTACAAGACCGGCAGGACCCTGAAGCTGCACTTACTCTGGGTAGTGAGCAGATAGAAGTAATCGAGAAGTTCATGTACCTATGTAGCTACGTAGGTGTTGTTAGTGGCGTGAGCGACGAGATCGACCCACGTATAGTGAAAGCCAGAGCGGCTTATGCCAATCTTGGTCATCTTTGGCGCCTTCGTAATCTTGATCTGGCTGTAAAAGGTCGGATCTACAACGCGTCGGTGAGAGCATTTTTGCTTGATGCTTGTGAAACCTGACCTCTCCGAGTTGAGGATGTTAGAAGACTCTCTGTGTTTGGTCATCATTGTCTCCGGAGAATTGCTAACATTCAGTGGCAACATCATGTTAGCAATGAAGAGGTTCGGTATCGTGTGTTCGGGCACAGAGATGATAATTCAATTGGTGTCACTATCTTGGAACATTGACTTCGGTGGCTTGGACGTGTCTTACGAGTGTCGTCCGAGCAAATTCCACATCGTGCATTACTTGACGACACTGGGACTGGTTGGAGAAAGCGAAAAGATGTTCGGTGTATGACATGGTGTTGTAGTATAAAAGAATGCTGTACAGGGCTGGCTTCTGTTGGTCCTTCATGACTTCCTAGTTGGGGTCCTGAAGATGGCACAGCACAGTAGCTAGAGACGTCATCAGACATGGCTCAGAATAGAAGCCAGCAGCGATCTTGCTGTAACTTTCTTTATAAAATATGGACATAACTTCTTTAACTGAAAGAATGCTTTCTGGTTGTATTTTCTCTAACTGAACAGTTCCTCGAATTATTGTTATTCCATTCCCATACACTAATTTCTGTTTATTGCTGCTCTTCTTTTTATTATACTCACCCATCCTTCTCTGACTCTTTACGAAATCAGCTTTATGGTATAATTTTGAACAATCTTTAGCTATTTCGTCTATGTACCCCAGAAATCAATATATCCAGACAATTTTATCAGTTCTCTCTTTCCGTAGTGACAATCAAATATTATACATCTACCAGAAATAAATTTATTTACATAGCTTTAAGTCATACCTTGTAAGGAAGCTAATCCTCTTGTTTAGCACCCAAACCACAATAAGTAGGTTGAGGTTCCAAAACAGGACTTGTCAACTGAAAGTTGAATGGTTTAGTTATCAACCAGATGATATACGATTATCAAAAATCCTAAATCGCTAATACAAGGGCTTGTAAAAATAAGGTGGAAATTTTAGTTCACTCGTTGCTTCTTGAATATTTCCTAAAGAAAAGCTGTGAGAAACTGTAACAAACAAATTAAAATAGGTGAATTTATACAAACGAGATTCAATAGAGTAAGTATTGTGTACACAAAGCGCTAGATTACCAAATATCCATATCCTAACAAAATCAATAAATAAATGTTGTCTGTGCAGAGAGGTAAAGAGTATGAATATATTTTATAATTTAATACCTGAAAATTTATTTTAGAACTGAGCCTGTTTATATTTAATCAGCAGACGGATTCAAAATTACGCTTTCGACGAGTTGGTTTAGGTTTCCAAAATGTATGAAATGTTCTATTACGTGTGGATCTTCTAAGCGCTGAAACTGAATCCTCTGAATTACAAAGGACGAAATCTTGATTTGGAGGAGTAATATCAGTGCATAAATTCATATCCAATTCAGTATTAGTTTTCTGTGAAACGAAAAACTTCTGTCTTTTATTGGCTCTAAGACGAATTCGACGTGCTCGTTCTTGAATTGACTTGAGAGGAATACAAATTAACCGGTAAAGGTGTAAACAAATGAAAAAAATAAGTCAACAAAAAGTCTACAATAGATAAATTAAAAATCGTCAAGGTTGGTATTGTATCACCAGGATTCCTCAGAACTAGGTGTCATGTTCCCTGACACTCATCGGTAATACATACTTCTAACCTAGCGGCAAGTGCTATTGTTTCAGAAATTTTAAGCAGAGAAATCAGTTTCCTCCAAAACTACAGGAGCGCTTCTGTGATGAGCCTTAACCAACCAGACATAATTCAAAAGTTTATTCAGTTAGTCAACGTTAAATGAAACGCGTAATAATATTGAGTAATTATTGTATTTTGTAGTCCAACTCAGTTACTATTTTGCGTTGCTTAACACTTCAAAAGTATAACTAGCTAGAGTGACAGTGCCAAGACTGTGGGGGGGGGCTATTCCCAAAGACGAATAACAACACAAAAAACTAATTCGTACGTATATGTTACTGAAATAACCAAGCCAGGCACATATGGACTGGAACCTCAATAGATAAATAATTCTCCTACATATAACAGCGCGCCCACACTTCGATTTCTCAACTGTCATGAGACAGTCTTAGGAGAGTATGTGGTTCATACGGTCATGCCAAAGATATAAGTGGTAGCGTCGGCAGCCATATAAATGGCAGTAGTTACTATCCGAAGGTTGTAAAGATAACTGTTTCACTGAACACTTAGCCATTAGTGTTATCGGATAGGGCACAATGACGTAAATGAATATATATATACTGTGGCTCCCGATATTACGTCTCTCCGTGGAGATGCAGAGGCGGAGACGCAGACGTCGTGTTTTTGTCATACAGCCGTTTGGAGGCCTCTTAAGAATTCTAGAAATTAAAATGCAGCCCACGATAACCCTTTGGATTCAAAGCATACTCTTGAAAAGTTTTTAAGGCTTCAACAACCAAAGGTGGCCATTCCCAAATTGTATATGCTCCCTCGAATCATTGGGTTAACAAGACCCCATCAACAAAAGTTGATCGACTTAGTAATATCCTAGGCCATAATAACCCACAGGTAGTAGACAATCTTTCAGAATTATACTCCTTAAGCCAACTGAATAAACCATATATGGTCTTCACATGTAAAGACTTACATAACCCTAACCTAAGAAAACTTAGGGTCACCAGTTTGTCCCATGTAGTTTCAATCTACCCTTAAGTTACAAAGGAATCTGTAAAGTTTGATAACATTCCTCCTCAGTTTATTGATGATACTGATGAAGGGCTTCTATGCTATGTATTATTTTCTCTAGAGCCTCACAAACTCTTGGTCGTCCCTAACTAAGAGCTAAAAAGATTTGAAAAAAAGGAATATTCCTTATCCACAAAATAACTTATTTTGGACAACAGTAATTCCAGGTTTCTCTTGTACTCTAGACTGTTTAGACTAAAACCCAGAAGATAAAACTTAAGAAACAAACCAACATCTAGTCACTCGTAAGAAGCATAACATTAACAAAGAATTTGTCCGCTTTTCATAATTCATTTCTGAACTTATTAAGTATTAATGCATGATCACTTTTAAATAAAACATGTAACTATATCCCAGTTATTTGAACCATCTTTTTTGTTGTCACAGAATCATGATATTCTTATTCAGTGCCTGATTCCGAGTTAAACATTAAAAACTACCTATTAGAACGCTCCAACAGATAGGATAAACGTAGCTATCTATTATATGTCTTGGATTTTCTATCAACTAATGAAGTTGGATACAATGCTCCTAGTAGTGTGATAGAATCAGTTCGAAACTTATTTAATACCTTGAGCATTAGTCTACCTCTCGTTTGTGTATACAGAGCTCCGAACACTTATACTAATGTCGAAGATCTTGTTAATGCATTCCCACATCCCTCTTTTCTAAAATTTTGATGAGAGTCATTGCAGGAGAACTGCCGGCAGAGATCAGTAATGTGAAGAAAAATTTCTCACATTATACGTGAACTGTTGGTAGCGGCGGGTTTACATCGCAATGAGACATAACAACACCCTCGACCCAGTATTCTATAGAGATAACACTCCCTTACCTAAAGAAATTAAAAAATATTTAAAAGTAGTGACCAAATATCTTTCCGTGCCCTTCACATTACTACCAACCTTTCGAATAACCTCTCTCTGCGAAAAGCTGGTCAATAAGGGGATTAGATAACTGGACACTGGAACCTCCTTCAAATACTGTTGTGTCTAGATTGGAATGACCTCTTCCGGAACCATAGTCTGGTAGGTGCCATAAGTATATTTACCAAATCAACAATTCATGCTAATAAACCCTAATGGTCTATTCATATAGCTTAAGATTAGTAACAAATTACGATGCTTGCAGAAACTTCAAGTCAGGTGATTCCTCCACAGTGGCATAAATAACTATAATTTTTAACCAAATTAAGAACGCTTTTGGTTAAAAAGCTATTTATGAAGAGTCATCAGCACTAAGTAGAAGTTCTAAATTAAAGAACTTAGTAGTTCTAATCAATAAACGCGTCAGATCATCACAAAATGCAGATTTTCCCAGCATCTTCGACAACAGTTCAGTTAAAATGACACAAAACTATTTCTAACCACTTCAGTAATAATACTGTAATCAAAACCAAAGGTTCGATCAGAAGTCAGACATATGACTAATAATTGCAAACAACTAATTTTTGTCACTTATCGCCAAATTACTAGAGCCATAAACCCCTTAAGGTTTAAAGAAGTCATAGGGTAATTATGATAAAATAGTCAGTCAGTCAGTCAGTAAGAACGTAGAACTACGTACGTTCGTACATCAGTTCGAGCTGCCATACCACATTAGCACACAGATACAATTGTCGATTCAAATCCCATTGTGGTAAAGGTAGTAAGAGTATAAGCAGTAATCGGAAAGATTAGCATTTGAAGATGTTATTCAATGAGTATAATCCAGTGAAATAAATTTAGAAAGAAAATAAGGAACATGAAGAATTCAGAAGATTAGAATTTGGGAGAACACAAAGAGTGGATGCACTTGCACCATTGCAAACGATTTTGAGCCATGTCATCTAGGGTCTCTAACGATCGGTCACCATCATCTCGCGGTCCCCAACCAGGTGGTCTACACATACCAACATGGCTCAGTCCACTTGTCAGTGACTTCATGGATTTGTACCATGTTTTGGTCTGGCCGCCCCTAGCTTTCCTCCAACCTACTCCCACACCACAAAACATCGCACGTCGGGGTAGTCGGTGGTCGGGCATACGTCAGAAGACTGCATTTTGTCAGCATCTTCACCAAATAGAACAATGTCATCGGCATATTCTAGGTCAAAAAGTGAATCTCCCGGTAGGAGTTCAACCCCTGGAAATTTAGGTGAGAAAAGTGTTATCTCTAAAAGCACGTCAACGACAAAGTTAAACAAGAATGGAGAGTGGACAGCCGTGACGAACACCACTTGAGGTAATCAATTCTGATGACAGTTCGCCATAAGCTCTCACTCTACCAGTTGTGTTCGAGTAGAGAGCCTTTACAAGGTTAATGTACTTCTTTGGTACTCCTTTCAGTGACAAACACTGCCATAGAACATCACGATCACCAGAGTCGAATGCTGCTTTAAGGTCGAGAAATAATACGATTGTGGGGCGCCTGAATGTGTGCCTGTGTTCTAGAACCTGACGTAGTGTGAAAATCTGGTCTATACAACCACGTCCAGGTCGAAAACCAGCCTGGTTTTCTCTAGTCTGTTCTTGACGAGCTTTGGTTAGGCGTCGAAGTATTATTGAAGCTAATATTTTAGACACTATATTAGTCAAACTGATTCCTCTGTGATTGTCACAAGAGGACTTTTGTCCTTTCTTATAGACTGGCACAATCAGTGATTGAGACCAGTCAGATGGGATTACGTCCGGTTCCCAGATTCCACCTAAGACCTCAGTCAATCTCACTGCTAATACTGGACCGCCATCCTTAAAAACATTAGGGGTAAACCTGTCAGGGCCTGCTGCTCTCCCGCGCTTCAGATTTCCTATAGCTTTTTCAACTTCGTAAGGAGTCGGAGGACTTACATCAACTTACCATTCAGATTGACTGGAGATCGTGGGGAACCGAAGTGTGGCTGAAGGCCAGTTGAACTGATCCCTAAAGTGTTCTGCCCATCGATCCAATCTCCTGGATTGAGAATGTATAATATGTCCATCTTTCTCTGAGATTGTTTCGCTAACAGTCGGGTTCCTAATACCGGTTTCCTTAACAAGTCTGAAAAATTCTCTGCTATTAGCTATTACCGCTGCCTTTTCCGTCTCTCTTGCTTTCGCTACCCACCACTGTTCACGATCACTGCGTAGGCTTCTTGTTAGCTTGCGCTTAATCTGACTCCGCTCTTCGTTATGTTCAGAGCCAGATGGAATGAGTTTCCGAGCATCTATCAGTGCGATAGATGCTGCTGAGATCCAGTGTTGCTCCCTAACCTTCTGGTTTACCTTACTAGCAGATATCACTGCTGTTTCCACAGCTTTTCGGATATCATTCCATGCTGCCTCGAGGCATGATAAAATAAATCTACATCAAATAGAGCAGACTTGATATTTCAATACTCCTATTAAAGTTGCTTACAATTACTTTGGAAACAGTTATCTATCATTACCGCTGGAATACCACATATGTGATACAACTTTTTAAACCTGGGAAAAGCCAACGTAGACAACTATACATCTACATATATTACTTCAGTTATCTTCATAAAAATAAAAAAATATTGGGTGACAAAAAGTCGGGCTATTTATATGCTAAAAAACTTCCTACTAATTCACAGAATGACTATCTTAAAAGTAGACATTACATGAGTTGTTTCCTTTGACTTCTTTAATTTAGTCTACCAAATGTACCTAGTTGTACCTTGTTTAAGCACCGTACTTTGATATTTCTAAAGCCTTCGACATGGTTAACCACCAGCGTCTTGTGGGCAAACCCACATTATATAAGATCAGAGATCCCCGTTTGAGTAGCTTAATGTTTTTTATTCACTGATACCCAAGGATTGGAAAAACTAGTCGGATGCAATTCCAATCACGAGTGGTGTAATACAAGGTGATATCCTATGTCGTCTACTCTCTATAGTTTATATAAATATCTGAAAATGCTTCAGAATGGGTAAAACTCTGCTGCAAGTAGATGATCTTAAAGTAGTGTATTCATTTTCCCCTCATGAGGTTATCCATATACAAAACTGTATCTGTACGGAGCTAAGTAATGTTACCTTACAGTGCTCAAAATGAAATCTGGAACATAGAATTGATAAATGTGGATGGATTTGTTTAGTGATTCTCTTCTCAACTTCAATGGTAAACTTAGGACTAAGATGTTCTTACAACTTGTTCCTCTCAAATTAAGTTAAAATGTGGACGTCTTACTTATGAAGACTTCTTGGTTGTATGACATGTAGCTTTAATAACAACGAATCACGTATTCTATAGTACAAGCATGTGTTTGAACACTACTAGAATATCACATTTTTATTCTTATTAGTTATGGCATTAAAGACGAACTGAGCTAGGAATCTGTTTAGCGGAGCTTTATGCTCCGTATTTTCACGAATGTATGCACTTTAAACTACAAGCCCAGATTCACTGATCCTTTACGAAAGTGGAGACTGAGACTGAATCTAATTTTTACTTTAATATATTAAACAAAATCATCTTTTGCATCCACTAATACAAGAAGAATTACAGTTATATCTGTGAAAAGTGAAAATATCTCATTCAAAATCTAATCTCTATATAAATCACTTTACAATTTACCATAATCTTTGAAATTGTTGAGGATGTGCCATCCCTAAATATAATCTATGAGGAAGGAGATCAAGATCAGTTTAAAGTGAATTTCAGGTGGATGTAAGGTCAATTTTCAACACAAATTCGTTGAATTACTATATGCACATTAAATATATTTTTTTTTTATTGTGCTTAGCGACAATCATACAGTTTATGAATCCTAATCCTAGTAACTGTATAATAACCGATTAACTCCAATGCATTTTTTATTCTACTGAGGTCATCATAAACAAAACTTCCATAACAACACCAAACTCCTGTCTAGATAGCGAGAGAGGGAAGAAAAAGAAAGAAGTTTCTTTCACTGTGTTGGAATTATGGTTGTGACTATATTAGCATAGAGCATGACTATGTCAGAAAAACATTCACTGTTATCGCTTGTACGGTACATTGATAATTTTCGGTCTTCTGATATTGTCTTAAAAAAGGATTACATCAACAATTATATCTCACTCCACTAATGAAATTATAGAGACTTTAAATGTGTGAACAATGTTACTATGACGTATAATTATTAAACTTCGCTAGGTGTTGATATCTTATCTGTTGATGATATTACAGTCTTATGTTGTGAATCCTTTACGCTATTCTTAGTAAGTCCCAAACCTTGTCCTAATTGGGTCATTTCGTTATTGTAAGAATATGTAAAGAACAGTTGATTAGTTTAAATGTAACCAATTATAATCAGTATGTTACGGAACAATCAAGTAGATACATAACGATAGACATATGACAGTAAATTCCGGTGCTCTTCTATGCTCTCTTATTGTAGATGTTACTAAGTATCCTCTAAAGGAACTGGAATAGCTCTTCACTGTAATACTCACTCGCAAACGTGACGCTCCAGTCCTTCTTCTAAGAAAATACTTATTCCTAACCGATGTATCATTAGTGACATCTATCATTACAAAAAGCTCATGATGTCTTATCTATGCCACTTCTTTGCGTTCTTCTTACAATGCTTACTAAAGACAAATCTTCCTTACAAAACTGATGACTTTTACAAAGTATGACTCCTATAAGTGCTGTTCTTCGAAATCTTATAACCTATGATGATGCATTTCATTTACATATGGTTCACATTATTAAAATTTTTGTAAAGAAATATTCAATGAAGACAAATTATAGATCACATCATTTCAAATAATCTACCCTAACTTTTAATGTTGCATTCCTTTTGTATTAACCACATCCTGTTTGTATACTGACAAGCATTCTGAAATTGTTTTCAGAATATGCGTAATACTATATTTATCAAGACTTCATAAATCCCTGTTGAACTACTTAGTACTTACCGTCAAAAACAATTACTTCCAAGCGTTCGCTTTCGTTTTGTAAGATTTCGCCTTCTATGTTGATGAGTTGGACAATTTAGATCAACATAGATTCCGAAAGATATTATGTGAACCAACCAATCATCAAAGCTTAGTGAATAATCTCTAACCGTGAATGCTCATTAAACCGAGTCTATAGTACCTAGAATATCATGTTGTACAACAGTAGGACTTCAAAAGTAAAAGTGCGAAATAGTTAAGTACAAACTCTAAAATATATACTAACCTGTTGACACATCAACTCGTGGTCACTGAAAAACTTCTGTTTTTGAAAGCCTTTTCCACAAAATCTGCATACAAATATTTTAGGTGAAGCATTCTTGTTAGATTCTAGGTGATTTCCTTGAGATAACATACACTCTTCTAGTTGAAGAAGAAATAAAGCTGTTTTAGAAGATTCACCACCACTGAAAGACGAATCTGCATTACGCAGCAGGGAAACAGTATTATTAGTGTCATCATTCGTAGTTTTGTTGGACAAGGCAGATTTGAATACTGAAAGGTTCATTGGTTTGAATGTCTTTCAGACAAGTGTGTATGAATATGTTTAAGACTTTTGCAAATTTTCACACAAAAAGGGCACCTGTAATAACCGGGAAAAATAATATCATAATTGTTAGGAAACATATGAAATGCTTCACTACATCAATTTTATGTTAATCTTCATTTACATGAAAAAGTGAATTAAATAGTATGAGAACCACTTCAGTCGGAGTACTACTATTGAGCGTCAAAAGAACTTGGAACACACAAGAACTCTAAACTTTCAGGCTATAAGTGAAAATTACATATCTTAAGAATCTCAAGTTGCCAGTTAACACTTGCCACTGGAAATTGGTAAACTTACTTGCCAATGACAAGAAACGCTATTCGATTACTAAATAGTAATTTTTTCGTCAAACCTAGCTCTTAGTGATCATAAAATTTTAAAGATGTCCAATGTTATCTTCATATTAAGGGACTCAGTACTGCACTCTGAAAAGCTCAGTGAAGTTTTCGACATCAGTAGACAAAAGTTTCAAATATCTAGAAGAGCATCAATTACAGTGATGTAATGACTATGGGCAGTTAGATCCAGAGTTTCGTGCCAAATGTCTTCAACCACTTACGAAGACATTTGTCGCCGTGATTGAGACCAGTGGTCGTCATTGATTTTAAAACAAATGTTTCATAGATTCAGAATTCTAGAGGAGAGTGACATAATTCCTACACTTGTGACAGAATTCTTGTCGATAATACATTCAATGTTCAATCAGTATTCTTAATAAGCTTTAACAAATGGATTGGAGGGATGATTATAATTTCAAACCAGTATAGGATCAATTTTCTGGTTTAAAGCAAACTGATGTGTGGCCGGGAATGATAATGATTGGTTGTTTGCTTAATCAAACTTGTAGATAGTCTGACAGGCGTTAGATGAGTTGCATATTCTCCTATCCTTATTATATTTGTTGACTGATTGTTGTATTTTGTCGGATTGTTGTCGGTTTTTGGTGTAGAAATATATTTACGTTCTTGATCTGAGTTGTGTTGAAGTCCTGTAGAATAGACACTGGGAGGGAATCTAGTGTAGATATTCGTCTAAGGTAAATTAACGTCCCAGTTGTGTAAACGCGGAAAACCGAGCTTTATAACACAAAGAAATTGCATACATGATACCAACTACCTCTAAATATTGGATATACCATGAAAAACAACCAGAAACAATTTAAAGGGTCATATCAGTAAAGCATTAAGGTTACGGAAACACTTGAATCAGGAGCGCACGGATGTTATTTATTATTTATTTGAACACATAAATATTGGCACAAGAGAGCGCCCATATAGATGCGCACGGATGTAGCTAAATTCCATTTCATACTCTGAGTTAGTGAAAAAAATTTCGAGACTATAAAATAATTTGTACAATATATTCTTACTGAAACCAAATAATGAATTATCTTTTTGAAACTTTGTAAAGGAAGTATACGGAATGTCGGATCCAAATAATTAGCAGCACTGGAGTATTCAGCTGACGACTTTGAACTTCGTTCTATATCCTGTGCATTAGTAGGCCTATGGTGTGAAATAAATTTACGATTCCTCTTCACCAATTTACTTTCCTTTTTTCTTGATCTAATATACAGCATAGGACAACCGGAGTTAGATCCATTACGTCGA